CTTTTGTTTTTAAAAAAGAAGATAGCATACCACGGAATTCAGGCAACTTACATCAACAAATAGGCCGTGTGATTTTAGCATGAAGAAAAAAATTACAAACAGAGCTGTGTAAGCGGGTTCTCCCGGAAAAAAAATAAGAAAAAACAACTTTTCCGTACAACGTTTTCTATCTGTTTGGTAACTCCCTCCCTCACTCTTCTCTCCCTGGACATCTTTCTCCTGAATCCTCTCTCTCCTCCCTCACTTTTTTGCCCTCTCCCCCAAAGCTGAAATCTGCAGGCTGCAGTTGAGGAACTGTTACCACCACCGGGCGTCAGCATGTACGGGAAGGTGGGATCTGGGAAGAAAGGTTTGGAGACCAGGAAAGTGACAGGCTACCAGGTAGGAAGGGCTGCGTGGATGAGAGGCCTTGGGAGAGGCTGGCTGGGGAAGGGGCTTTAAAGGCCAGTTGCAGGTTGGTCACAGGAGAGGGTAGGCGAGGGCCCAAAAGAAGGGTAGATGAAGAGTGAGCTGGAGCAAGGGCCTGTCCTGCAGGACTCTGAAGCCCTGGAGATGGCAGGCCAGGAGGGAGGTGAGAAGGGCAGGGAGGGAGGGTGTCGCCACCTGCTTCCTGAGCTAAGCCTAACTCCCCGACTTTCTCTTTCCTCACCCTCCACCTCTGACCCCCACTGACTACCCCCCTCCCCCTCCCCGGAACCCCCATGGGCCGCCAAAACCTGGCCAGAGTTTGACTGCCTCTGGCCCTCTTATTATTGTTAAAACAATAATAAAACAACAGAAAGAAGAAGAAAGCAAAAAAAGGAAAGAAAATACATACACAGCCATCTGGGAGGGATATACTTGCTAAAACAGGGCCCATGGGAACTAGTGGGTAGAGTTTTGAGGTGGGGATTAAGTTTTCTGCCCTCTAGGTCTGATAACTGGAGTCCCCAGGCCCAAATGGCAGTTACCCTCAACCCCCCCCCAAGTGAGAACTACAACTCCCATTAGTCCTGGGAAGGATGTGGGCCAGAATTCCCACCAGCCCTCATCATCAACTACAACTCCCATCAGCCTCCTGGGCCTCCTCTCAAACCAAAATGCTGCAACCCCTTGGCCTCAAGTGGAACAAAGCTGGCGAGAGGGTTCATTCTTCTTGGGAGGAGACACTTCTGGGCCTGGTGGGGGCAAGAGGTTTCCTCTCTGGCTGTACCTCCAGCATAGCCTAAACCCTGCTCACACCTAAGAACCTCTCCCTTTGGGATATGCCCACAAGCCCTGCTACCCTCTTCAGAGTAAACATACAGGGGCCTTCACTGCCAGGTCCTACCCTCTTTAGCATCCATGCAGCCAGGTCAGGCTGGTTCCATCTCCACATCTTGGCACCTCTTCTCTCCTCCACCCCTAGTGGGCTCCACTGTTCACACATCTCTGCCAAACCTTCTCATCACCAGCTTCACCAAACTCACAGAAGAGGCCCCGTTGGCCACACTGTCAGTCACAGTTACGATCTTGCTATCAAATTGTAAACCTAGCCAAGCTCCCAGGTTGCTGTTCTTCCCATCAGGCTCCAGCCTCCACCTGAGCCCCCAGTGTTGAAAACCAGGACTCTGCTAGGATGTGGGGTCAGAAACAGTGAAAAACTGAGGCAAGAGTAGACGCATGTTCTATGCAGCTGGGAGCATCCAATTCCAGCTTCCATGAATGCAGGTGCTGAGGGTAGGCAGGACACCCTAAAGTCAATAGGTTATCAGTGTCAGGAGAGGTGAAAGAATGGACAGTTAAAACCAGAAGAAAATGTTCAAATGAGAACAAAGGAAGAAGGAATAAAGGAGGAGACAAGAGAAAAAAGAGAATAAAAAAGAAAAATGGAAACAAAGCTTTTATGCTTTTTTTTTTTTTTTTGGTACCAGGGATTGAACTCAGGACCCTGCACTTGCCAGGCAAGATTTTTTTTTTTTTTTTTTTGGTACCAGGGATTGAACTCAGGACCCTGCACTTGCCAGGCAAGAGCTTATACTACTGAGCTATCTCCCCAGCCCTGAAACAAAGCTTTTATAGATATGGGTGGAAGAGGGTTTCAAAGAAGGATGTACAAGTACTAATTCCTTATAGTGAATGTTATCATTATGTATATCTAAAATGTACCAATAGAAAATTTTTAATGCAAAAACAATTAAAAAAAAAAAAGGATTTGAGGGCTGGCCAAATAGCTCAATGGATTAAAGCACCTGCAAGCAGGTGCAGGGGCGGAGAGTTCGATCCTGGGGCCTGCTGTGCCAGCCCCGCCCCAGGGGCGCACTGAGATGGCAATTGAGACTGGACATGGTGGCGCATGTGCCTATAATCCCAGCTCTTGGGAGGCTGTAAACAGGCAGATCACTATGAGTCTGATCTAATAGTGAGACCTTGAACAATAAGGGTAGACCCTTCCCCCCAAAAAAATAAAAATAAAAATACAGAAAGGAATTGATGGTCCTGTCTCTGCTGTGGTTCTTGGGAGCCAGGGAAAAGCCATGGCTCATAGGAAGCCAGGAAACCCTAAATTGTGCCCATGCCTCCACCAGCAGGCTGGTAAGGCTCATCTCCTAACTTAGACACTGACCTGAAAGGCTACTCACTCATTCTGTCACTGAATTCCTGTGTGATTGTGGACAAAATTTCCCTCCCCTGGGCTGTAAAGCTAGGGTACTAGGCTCCAGGCCCCAGGTGAAGCCAAGGCCTGGCTCTATAGCCCCTCTGTCCTATAGATAAACACAATGTGCTCTTCTGTTCCTATCTTGGCCCAGGCCCCCAGAAAGACATCCCAGCACCCTGGTCCCTGGGTAAGGGGCAAGCTCAGCATTTACTTATGAATGGAGAGCAGGCAACCTCACAAGAGGCAGCCTCCTGGGCCCCACTGTGGCTGTGGCAGGCTTCTCATTCATGCATGGATCCTGAGGCCATCTGGAGTCCTCTCTGCTGGCCCACAAGACCTGCCTGACCTTTCTCATCCAATCAGAACTCATTCCCCACTGACATTTCACTTTTCCTCAGAGTCCAGCCAAATAACACTTCTTTCAGGCAGACCCCAGAGGATGCTTCCTGCCTCTGATTTCTCTGAACCTTGTCCCTGTTGTCTTAGAGCCAGTGACTTGGGCTGAATCACTGCCTAGGACCAAAAGGTCCAAGTCCTAGCTGTCAACTTCCTCAGCACCAGCGCCAATTTTGGTACAAAATTGGTGTCATTTCCGATGGGTAGGGAAAGGATATTCCTCAGGCATTTCTTGTGAGCCTGGACAAGCATGGTGTCTGAGGAAGGCATAGGAACCCCTCTCATAGGCCAAAGCCTGAATTCTGTATTTGACTCCCTCTGCCCTCTTGGATAGCAGGGATTATTGAAAACTCAGCTTGGCAAGTGCACCTCCACCCCCTGCCAGCTACACTTCTTGTCTTAGACTGGGCCACCAGCTGATCCTGGGAACTCCAGGGTCAGGGCTTGCCCTGTGCTGCCTTATGACCCTCAATCAGCTGGCCATCACTGAGATACCATTGAAGAGTAAGGCCCGGGACACAGGATCAAACCCAGAGGTCCTTGCTGGTGACACATTTGGCCTTAGATCATCAGGCTGATCATGCCATAGACTTTGGCTCCCTACCAGTGTGTACCGCCCAGCAAAGTGAGAGAAGGTGGAGGCTTCAGACCTTGGACAATAGACAAGTCCTGCCCAGCGTGAACCCTCTAAAACCATTTGCCTCAACCTTTTGGTCCTTGGGAAACACATGCTTCCAAGCTCCCTCTCCTCCAGGTCCCAGAGCCTACCAGGCACTACATCTGAGGCTCAGCCCTTTCCTAAAATCCCAGCTCCTCCAGGGTGTCCCTGGCCCTACTCTGCCCAAGGCTCTGGAGGCATATCAGGGACATCCTGCCTGCCTCCTGCCACCCCTACCACCGTGCCTTTCCCTCGGTACCCCTGTACATGGCAACCTGTGCCTCCCACACCACTTCTTTCCTGTGTCCTACACCCCACTCTCCTCCCACCCTTGCTCAGCCTAGCCCAGTTGAGTCACGTGCATGTCAGGCTTTCCTGGGCCTTCCTGGGATAGTGCACCAATCCAAGAAGGATGAAGGAACCCGTTCTTCCCTGGTGACGACCCAGCAGGGTCTGGAGGGGAGAACCCAGCAGAGACTCCTCCCACTGGGCTTTTATGGGTAGGTGCACTTATGATGATGACTCAGGATGCTGGTGGTCATTTTCCATCTCTAGAACAAGGGCAAATCCCAAGAAGTATGCCCGGGCAGCCATCAGAGCCTTGGAAGAGGCACAGGCAGCCTCTAGTCCTCCTGCACTTACAGTGGCTGCAGCATTTGGAAAACACAAATGCATGCTTATAGATACTACCCACCCACCCTCCACTCCCCTGCATCCGAAGAAAGCAGACTTTTGATGCATGTCAGACCCATTCTGCTAGAAAATTCCATTCTGACAGAGGATACCACCAGTCACTCCCACACAATCCTTTCCCCTTCAATTCTCCTCTCTCTGGGGGACAGGGTCCCAGCAAGCCAAGTTCTTTCTTGCTTTAGAGCACAGAGGCCCTTAATTAGAAACAGCTACAAACCCCATTTCCCACCCATGCAAGATGTGTCCACTTCCTTGAGAGTTGACAACTGACATTAAGTGTGTCAAAGACAAAGACATCAGTTAGCAAGATGTCTTCTCCACCAATGTAGGGCCCTTGCCAAGGGGCAAGGGGCAAGAGACTACTTACCTACAGGGCATTTTGTGTAGATCTGGAAAAAAAAAGCAGCTCCCCTATATAGATTCAGCCCTGCAGGTGCAATGACTTAGCAAGTGGCACCTCACTATGACACTGGATAAAGCCACCCTCTCTGAGTAGATACAACCCTGATCCAGGACCCAGGATACCTGGCTGAGCAAACAGAGCACTGACTAGATTTCAGCCCCTACTTACCTGTTCAGGCAGAAGACAACCCATGTCACTGTGAGTAGTGGCCCAAAGGACAGTGCCCTTCCTCAACCTGAACCAGCAGCACAGCAAGAGCAGAGGCCAGAGTGGTTTGAAGTGGGGCTGGGGGGGCTACATCTAGAGAGTGTGTACCATCTGGGAGGTCTGTGCTTCTGTGCCCTGAATGTGTGTACACAAACCTTGATGGATCTGATACGTGAGTGTACAGGTCAGTGAGCTGGAAGATATGGTTGCTTGTGAGTGGACTTCTAGCCCTGACAAGTGAATGCTGGCCTCTGAAGCCTGGGTTTGAGCTTCCTGTCACATGTGCATAAGTGAATATGTCCCTGAGAACACAGGAATGCACGTGGTTGCTGTGAGGTAGACAGTGTCTGCACCCTTGTGACTGTATCCTTTACCAATCTCATTTCCTCCTTCTCCTGGGCAACTAGACTACATTTCCCAGCATCCCTTGCAATCAGGCCAGCCGCACTCCCAGTGGTGGACCAAGCCAGTGTGAACACTGACATCCTCAGGTGTCCTAGGACCCAGCTTCTTTCCATAGCCATGACCTTAGAACCATGTGTTGAAATGGAGGAGGCACAGATGGAAGCCGTGTGGAATGTGGATTCCCAACATGCCCTTGGGGCACAGCAACCTGCTGACAAGGAGCACCCAGATAGGGTGTACCTGAGTGACAAACTCCTCTTGCGTTAAAGCACAGAGATTTGGTGCTTACCTGTTACAGAAACAAATGTTATCTTAATTACTACAGGCACTGGCATCCAAATGGGTGTCTGGAAAACAACACTCTGTGATACTTAAGTGACAGCCCAGTAAAAGGGACATGAAGGCTGGAAAGATAAAGACCTGTGTAATGCAAACTTTTTGGTACAGAACACAGCTGTAACTGTGCACTTGAGGCCAAGTCATAGAGAGAAAGGACGAGAAAGGCATCCAGGGATGGTGCCCGTTTTTACATTCCACTGTTACAAGGAGATAAACTTGAGCAAGAACTGGTTGGCTTCAAGCAGGAAGGAAAGGAGATGTGGGTCCTGTGAGAGTCAGAGAAGCCACAGTGTCCAAATCCCAAACAGGAAGCAAGAAGACTGAAGAGGGCTAGAGGACAATGGCCCAGAAACACTTCTCATCTGAATAAGGGGCTCACAAATCCTCAAGGGTCCAATTTAAGGTGTGACCTCCCTCGCCCTCCACTGCCCCTACTGTTTCAAGTGTCCTCAAGACAGTCACAGCTCTGTGAAGAAGGGAAGCTTAAGAACCATGTCTAGGAAAGAAATCATGTCATTGTTGTGCCCGGTTGAGCCTTAGGGCCACCCACATGTCCCCAAAGACACAGCAGGGGGAGTGGGCTGTCAGTGTTATCACATGCCCAAGCAGGTCATTTCTCCCCAAACCCAGGAAGACATTTCTTCCCAAGCCAGGAAGACTCTCCTGGCTGGCAGGGCACAGGCCTAGACAAGACAAGATTCCTAGGGTGCAGCAGCAAATGCCCCCTCTTTAGGGCACAGCCCACCGCCTACACTGCTGGGCCTCCTCTTTGCTATACAGCACTTGTGCCTCCTGTACTTCCAGGTTGCACCGACTCAGGCAGCTGTTTTCCCCCCGCC